GGGCTCCCTCATGTGTATCCTCCCTGGATTAAGGACCAATGGTCTCACAGCACAGAGAAGGGCACCCACTGCTTGGTAGCACACTGGGACCACCACGATGAGATCTGGGCATTCTCATCCCTTGGAACCAGAAAATGTTCCATGACCTGGATGTCCTGTCTTCACCATCTAGGACAAAAATGGCAAGAAGGTTTCCACTTCAGCTTTTTCAGTTCTGGCTGACTGACAATGACTTGTTGGTGTGTTGTGTTGAGAAGGATTCTGAAGTACATTGTTAGGAAAGCATGCAGTGATTAATAAAAGCAACGCCTGCCATGAACTGGGGAGTAGCAATGGTAGTGCCTTGTGTTTCGATTCCACATAGAGGGGGAGCTCCCAAAACCTCAGTGGTTCTGCCACTCCTTTGAAGTTGCTGTGCAGACATGTAGCTGGTCAGGAGAGAACAGGCAGCTGTTAATTCACTTCCGGTTTTATCCAACAAAATTGTCCTAGTCCACATTATCTCTGCTCTCTCTGCTAAATAAGGAAGCTCAAGGGTTTCCCCTCAAACCCCATGCTGGCTCCAACAGCAGTGATGTTCTTTTTAAGAGTGAGGGATGCCCTTGTCAGCACAAGGAATTTCTGGGCAGCAGGGAGGTAGCAGCAACCACAGCAGACTTGGCAGCCCGCCTCCGGGGCACTGATGTCCCTCCCAACTCTCCCAGCCTGAGAAGCTGCCAAGTGCCATCCACGTGTCTGTGACCCGGGCTCCTCCATGGGAAGTGCCTCAGATAATGTTTGTGTCACTGGGAACACTGTTTGTCTGATGGTTGTGAAAGGGCCAGTGAGGACATGGCGGGAACAAGGGGGATGGGAGCTCAGAGAAAAGGCAAACGGGAGGTTCCCTCATGGCACAGACTGGCTGACCAAACAGGACCACTATTCTATTCAGCAACAGAGCCCTCTCTGAGCCCTGAGTATGGCACTCAGGAGGTCCTCGGCTCTGCAGAGCCCCGTGCTCCCTGCCAAGTGTTCGGGAACATGTTCACTCCCCAGCGCCTGGTCACCAGGGCACAGACGCACACTGTGGCACGGGCTCATTGAAAGGGAGGGCTCTAACCAGCATTCCGCCCCCCGGCCGGATCCCTGCGAGTACGTTCCCTCCTTGTTTGACTTCCAAAAGCGGGTGGGAGGGCTTCTGTGAGGTAGAACGGGGCCTCTACCACAAAGTGGAGGAAAATGTCACCGACCTGCTGTGTGCCTCAGGGCAGCTCTCTGCCTTTCTGCAAGCCATTGTTTGCCCTTATGTAAAAAGAGGGGAACAGGAGTGTCAAATCTATAGCATGGGCAGCCCCACTGCCCACTTCCACATCCATGGCAAACATCAATAACCAATCATGCCACACTTTAGAAGCTCCAACACAGACCCCTCACAGCCAGCAGCAATTACTTCGCCCACAAGATAAAATCTACTTGCCATCTTGTGATTAGATGAGTTCAAAAGGTTCAATTCTAATATTGATTTTTGTTGTTGTTGTTAAATGCTTTTTTTTCCTGGTGCTGAGGCCAAGCCAGATTCCTCTAAGCCTGAACCTTGGCAGGAACTACACCCGTAAGGAGCAACGTCGACCTGGATGGATGCGAGACAAGCGGCCAAGACCAGCAGGGGGCGCCCTGGGAGCCTGTTTGGTATGGGCTCCAAAGTCACAGTTCCACTTCTGACGCGTCGCTGTGGCTTTTACACCTTTTTTCACAAGGGTCTGCCAACAGGTTTCTCAGAAATTTCTCAGGTATTCAAAGTTCCTGTATTCTAGGGAGACGGTGCTAAAAAGGAACCCCAGGAACTGGACAGCTCTGTCCAGTTCTTAGATGAGAAAACTGAGGCCCCATTAGAACCCGTCCTCTCTGACACTTCATCCAGTGCCAACGTACTTCTCCGTCCTGGTTTTTTCCTCTATATCACACTGGCTGATTTCTTAAAATTGGAAAAAAAAAAAAGCAGAAAATATTACTACGAGTACTCTTTGCCCTTGAAGAGGTACTTTATATCATTAGTACTAGACTACTACTACTAATAGCCGATCGTTTACTAAATACAATATTGAGTCCTTTACATACATTATCTTTACTGAATCCTCACATAATCCCATGAATTTACAATTGTGAGAACTGAAGCACAGAGACGTCAAGTCGCTTCAAGGTACAACAGCTATTAAGTCAGAGCCTGGATTCACTCCCAGTCCAAGGAGCCAAGCTGGTTTGCGCACAACACTGTTCTCGCTTCCACGACCCTTTCGATTCCCACACCCCCCAGGTGGCTGGGGCCGGGAACATGCCTCATTTAACAGAAGAGGACACTAAGGCACAGTGAGGCCAAGGACCCTGCTGCTGAGCAGCAGCTGAGCTGGAAACCAGCATGGTGGTTGGCACAAGGCCAAGGGCCCTGGGTCTTGTCACTGTGCAGGCAGCTGGCCCAGGGAAGACTCCCAGCATTCCCCCAGCATGGCTGCTCTAGGCTTTCCGTGCCGAATCCAGACTGTTGGCTCCATCCCAAAATTCAAATTCAACTACACTCTGGGCATCTCCTGGTGAAGGGCATAAATAAATAGCTACTGGGTCCAATGAGTATTAAATCACACCCCCACTCCAAGTGAGCAAAGGCAGGTCCTCTGCTCAGTTAATTACCACATCCCCTAGTGGCTGAAAGTCCTTGGCCTTGGGGAGTGAAGACTGAAAGACAGAGGTCAGACACAGGCCCCTGACAACAGTCTTCTCTCATATGGCATTGGGCTAAGTCGCTGACGCGCTTCACCACATATTCCTGGTTCATCCCCCTTTGTCACATGCTAGGATGACGTTTCCCGGCCTCCTTGAGGTTGGGTGGGCCATGTGACTAGCTTTGGCCAATGGAATTAATAAAGCTCACTTCTGGGTTGTGGCAGGTAATTGCCAATGTAGTCCTTCCAGAGCTTTCTTTCCTTTTGTCACACAGGTGGCAGCATTCCATATAATGGCTGCTTTTATCCTAGGTCCAGAGTAGAGTGGAACACCTAAATGACCCACAAGAGACATGTGGTGTGACTAAGAAAGAAACTTCTGAGGTTTTGAGCTACCAAGATCTCTTTTTACTTTTAGGATCTTTGCTACTATGGCATAACCTAGCCCCATGTGACAGTTACAGCACCAATGTTAACACCGCTTCCTAGAAGCCAGCACCTTTGTAGGTGTTACAAGGTGGCAGTGGAGAGCACAGGGACATAGATCTGACAGCTCCTGGAGCTCCAATCTCCAGGAGCCACCAATCTTGCGTCAGAGACAGGCATAGACAGGGTGCCTCTAATCTAAAGCAGATAATGGGAAGTGCCCCAGTGAGAGGCAGGGTAGAAACAGACCACTTCTTGAAGGATGGGTTGGATTTGGGCATGCAGAAATGGGGAACGGCATACCAGGGAGAGGGAACAGCATGAGAAAAGTACAGGAAATGCTGCAGAGCAGACTGTGCTGGTATGAAAGGTCCCAAAAGATCAGGAATAAGAAATGGGGCAAAAAGGCTCGGGTTGAGAGTATCTTGATGCTATGCTCTTGACCCTAGACACAGTGGGGAATCCCAAGTTTATAAGCAGGGAGTGACACAGTCAGTGTTTTGTTTTCACCAAGGCCCCTTGCAGCCAGAGTGGAAGGCAGCTGAGGGCAGGGGGACACAAAGTCGTGGCTCTTAGCAGGATGCCGCAGTGACCCAGGTGGGGCCGATGCCACCCACAACCAGCAGGAGAACAGATGGGAAACGGAGCTTGAGGCCGACTGCCAGCGGTAGGGAAGAAAAGGCAACAGGACTTGAGTCTCAACTTGGAGAAACAGAGAACAAAAAAACTTCCCCCACAAGGCCCTACGTGCCACACACGATGTGCACCTAGAAGCTGGGAAGAGGTGAGTCAGAGCTGGTGCAGGAAGGACAGACAGAGGGGAGAGAGGTGGCAGCACGTCTAAGAACACGGTGAGCACAGAAAACAACGAGGGCATGGATGGAAACAGAAGTCTGGGACCAGAGTAGGCAAGGCCTCAACGCCAGGCTGAGGCATGTGGACTTGATTTTATAAACCAGGGGCTGCAAACTGCTGGCCTAAAGAATGACTCTGATCCACAGAGATGTTTTGTTTGGCAGATTTCAGAAGTCGAATTAGTCGCCAACGTTCAAAGCCAAAAGAATTCACATCTAAATGTTCATTTCTGGCATGTGGTGTATCCAGAGAGCTGGCCGCGCTGAGCCTGTCCTCCCACGTCATTACCGTCAGCAGCAACGGAGGAGTGACCCCCCCCCTCCTCTGCACGTGAGGCTGGGCTCTCCAGCTGGACACGATCCCCACCACCTGCCTGTCTGGCTCATCGCTCCGTATGCTAAATAAACATATCTGTTAGGCCTTGTGGGCATTTGAATTTGGGAGCCTGGCAGGAGTACAGGCAGCCCCTGAGGGGTATCCCCTGGCTCATGCTGAAAAGGGAGGGGAGACATGATTTCTCAAAAGCTTGTTTCCACAGAGCTCCGCTGAGCCTGGCCCAGACCAGAGGGGCAGAGGAAGGTACCAGTCTGTCACTGATCCGATCCTGACTAGACAGCTGCTCTGAACAGGGCCTGCACTGAGAGCGGACCCGGGGAGTCCCCAGTGAAGCCGAGGAGGAAGAAACACAGGCAGGCATTTAGGACGCTAGGCGACATGGGCTTAGCTAGATCCAGTTGGGGCACAGGAGCCCCACGGTGTGAGGGACTCACCAGGTCTGCAGCAAGTTCCAGGCACTCGACCTGAACAAAGTCTTAAAGGTTGAGCAGGGCTTTCGCCTCATCAGGTGGGAAGGGAAGAGCTGCCGACTAGGACCGTGGAGGCAAAGACAAGTCTAAGGGCCGAGGTCTCTCCCGGAGGTGGGCGGGGGGCACCGGAGGCTCTAAGCCAGGGAGGGGTAGACCCTGGGCCCCTTCTCTCCAGGAGGCTGGTCCGCCCCGGCCCGCGCGGTGGACGCTCACTCACCGAGGGTCTGCTGGTTGCGGACGCCGCCGATCACCACGCAGATCTCGGCGGGCACGTCGCCGGTCCCGTCCTTGCTGACTGCCTTCTTCTCTTCCTTGGCCTCGCCCTGCCAGATCACCTCCTGGATGTAGTCGTCGGGCACCTCTGTTTTCACCTTCACCTCCGTCATCGTCCCCTGCTCGGCACTCAGCGAGGCCTCGGCCGGCACAGGCTCTGGCCCCTCCACCTTGGTGTTCTTCTGGCTGCGCTTCAAGCGCTCCCTGGGGAAGAGGAGACTCTGCTCAGTGCGGACCCCACGCCCAGGAGCCCACCAGCCCACGGGGTTGCAAAACGTTTAGCTACAGGCCCACCTGTCACGTGAACCCCACCTTGAAGCACATGGCCCATGGCTGCCCCTGAGGTTCCTCCAGGGAACCCTGGAGCGCCAACGAACACAGGTTGAAAATACGGGGCTAGTCTGGCTCCAACTCCATCCATTTTACAGATGGGGAAGCTAGGGTCTAAAGAGGTCAAAATGTGCCCAGTTTACTCCTAGAACTGGAGTTACAAGAGACTGACAAGGAGAGCTCTGGCTGGTTAAAATCAGTTCTTCTCAAGCCTCAATGGGCACATAAATCAGCTGAGAATCGTGGTAAAATGCAGGTTCTGGGTCAGCAGGTCCGGGGGTTTGGCCTGAGATTCTGCATCTCTAACAAGCACCCACCGAGGCCGGTCGTGCCAGCCTTCCACCCGCATGTGGAGCAGCAAGGGTTTAAGTAGTGTGATGTATGCAAAATGTCGAGTGCTGTTCCCTTTGCTTGTTGGCAGAAGGCCTAGAGATCTCATCTAAGCTCTTCCCCGCTCCAGTTTTACAGATGGGGAAACTACAAGCCAAAAGGCTTGCTTGTTTGAGATGTCCTGGAGCCAACACCCCAACACGTTGGCTTCTAGGCGGCTCTTAAATATCAGAAAACATCCTCAAGGTACGAGCTCAATACTGAGGTGGGCAGGACATGTGGGCACTGAGGCCTAGAGCAGAGCTGTGACATGCCCTGGGCTACCCACAAGGTTGGGGGCAGGTCAAGGAAGTCAGGTCCCTGCCACCCACTCCCGAACCGTGTCATGATAAGGGCCCCTCATCCTTCCAGCAGGGCATCGTTGTCATTAGTCATATTTCTGAGGCGGGAAAGCCAAGACGTGCACAAACTGGGAAACCGAGTCATATTCTAGGCCTGAGGCTGCTGCCCTGGCCATGCCCACCCTTCCCCACTGCTCCAGGGAAGCGTGGGCATTGTGAACTTCAGGCCCAGCCCTGGCATGCTCAGGCAAGGCCCACAGGCATACCAACTGGAGCACTGTGGAGGCACCCAGGCTGGGAGTCAGGGACCCAGGTCTGATCCTGGATCCACAGTGGGCTTCTTGTGTAACCTCGGACAAGACCTTTCTCCTCAGGGCTTCAGCTCCATCTATCACAAAAGCATGGGTTTTATTGCATCCGCTGCCCCTCCCAGCCTTCAAGCTGTCTCTCAGGGTAAAGAAAGGATGGGGAACTGAGCAGAGAGGGAAGGTCCCAGCTAACAAGGGGGCAGAGAAAAGGCCACTGGAGGTGCTATGATCTGAAGTGTGTCTCTCCCCGCCACGCCCAACTCATACGGTGAAGTCCTAATCCCCAATGTAACTGTATCTGGAGATTGGGTCTCTAGGAGGTAATTAAGGTTAAATAAGGTCATAAGTCCTATCTAATCTGAGAGGACTGTGGCCTTAGAAGAAGAGCAAAAGACACATCTCTCTCTCTCTTACTCTGTCCCCACCATGTGGGGACATAGAGAGAAGGTGGCTGTCAGCAAACCAGGAAGAGGGTCCTCACCAGAACCTAAGCATGCTGGTGCCCTGATCTCAGACTGCCAGCCTCCAGAACGGTGAGAAAACACCCAGTTGGTAGTATTTTGTTACGGCAGCCTGAGCTAGTATGGAGGCCAGGACTCACATGGGCAGGATGGGACTGGAAAGGTGGGCTGGGGAGTCCCAAGCCGACGGCAAGTCAGCCACTTGCTTGCTGTGTGCCTGAGCCAGCTCCTAACCACTGAGTTTCAGTTTGCACATCTGAAAAATGGAGCTGGTAGGGTTTTCACATTGATTTTAATCAGCTAACGCTTGAAAAGCGCTCAGCACAGTACCTGGCCCGTTCTAGCTCTCAAGACACAGTCACCATTACTATTATTAATAATGACAAACTGTTAGAGCATCTTCAGTACCCAGTGGACCCAGTGATGCCTGCCACGTCAGGATCACCAGACACTGTCTGACCTTACGCTCCTCTCCTCCGCAGGAAATGTAAAACTGGATGATTCAATTGCCTCAGCATTCATTTCATTTATTTATTTAAGAAACACTTAGAGTTTCCTACGTGCCGGGCACTGTTCTAACATACTGACTCCTCTCATCCACAGTAACAATCCTGTGATGTAAGTCATGGTTTTATGTCCATTTTACAGATGCGGAAACTGAGGGGCTGAGAGGTGAAATAACTTGTCTAAAGTCACATGGGTACAAAGCAGGAGAATCCAGATTTGATGAAGGCATCCTGGCTCTTAGCTGTGATGCCCCTAGACTGGGAGAGAAACTTTCAGAGGGCAGCCTGCCTACACGCACCCACGGCGACCCCCACGTCACCCCCTCTTGACCTTCAGCATCCAGAACAGTCAGGACCAAGGTGCTAGTGGGTGAGCAGGAAGATGGAGGCGCCTCACTTTTCTGGCTGTTACTGCCTCCACAGGGATATCTTAAGCTAGAGCCCCGCTGGTAAGGTCCAGGGCCCTCTTGGGAGGAGAAGATGCCTACTCCATCCCAGCAAAACACCATCTGAGTTTGGAGAGGCCCAAACATTACAAGAGACATTACAAGGGGACAGCTATGGCTTTAGGGAGGGAGAATATGCCTGCCAGCCAGCCAGCAACAGAAGGGACGTGCTGGGGGTGGGGAGCTCCGTGGCACTGAGGCATCGGAGCAGAGGCTGACTGACAGCCTGGGGGTAATAGCATGTGATGAAGTGAGATGCAGAGAGCACCAAGGTTTGAAGTCAGATCATCCCAGGGCCAAATCTCAGCACTGCCTTTCAAGGTGTGGGTTCCCCCTGAAGTGACTTCACACACACTCACACCTGCCCTGAGTCTCAGTCTTCACACACATACAATGGGCAAACAGCACCTGCCCTCAGCGCTGTGGTGCAGAAACAAGGCAATGTCTGCAAGGGACCCAGGACAGTGGCCCCAGGGGAATGTTCCACGGGTGTCTACTGTCTTGTCGGAGGCAGGAGAGGGGAGTGTGCACAGGAAGGATCTTACATGACGCAGACTTTAGTGCAGGGAGGGAGACCGACAGGAGTTCAAATCCCAATTCTGTATCACTTTCCAACTGGTGACCCTGAGCGAGCCCGTGACTCTCTCCGAGCCTGTTTCCATATCCCTGAAGTGGAGACCCCTGAACCTACCCAAAAGGCCTTGTAAAGATCAACTGCAAAAATGTAAATCCAGGACCTTATCTAAAGCGACTCATAGAGATGATCATGCTGGTGGAAAGTGGTGACAGGAGTGGCTGCAATTCCCACTGCCTGGCTGAGACCACGTGGGTACTAATGGTCAGCCAGTCCCGCCGGCCTGAGGCTCACTAGGCACAGAGATGTAAGCTAGGGCCCAATGCCAGCCCGGCATGAACACAGACCACAGGTCTGGGGGTGGGTAGGGGGGCTGGGCAGGCAGGCTGCTAAGGACTTTCCCTGGCTTGGCCCTTGCTGGTCCCAACCCTGGCTTCCTAAGCACAGGGCATCTGTGCTTCCCAGGGCCAGCAAAGAGGCCCACCAGAGAGGGGAGGTGTCAACTTGCCAGTGTTCCCCACAGCTGAGGTCAATGGGAGGGGAGAAGAGGGAGGGTCCCCAGCCAGAACACCCTCGCCCCTCTTCCATCACTGCCCACATTCTAAAAGCTCAGCCTCAGTCCTGTGAGCACTTGACCATGCTGTCGGAACAGACCTGGTGTCCCTTGCTGCTCTCAAGGACCTCACTAGTATGACATTCTGATGGGAGGCAGGAACTCCTGGGAGTCAGAAAGGCTGGGTATCTGCACACACAGGAGACGCCCCTTTCAGAGCTTCCGTCTCCGTCTCTGTTAGTTAAAGGGAGACCATGATGCCTGCCAGGACAGGGGCACGAAGTGGATGTCCATGGATGTCAGCTGTCATTAGGAGGATGACATCCCCACCTCTGGGAAGCCTTCCCTGCTCACTCGAGATGGAGTTAGACGCCCTCTGAACGTCCCACCTGCCTCGTGCAGGCAACTCTTCCACTGGGAGCCACGTGAGCCACCACC